GGAGAAGGGTTTAGGGTTGAGGGTTTAGGGTTTAGGGTTTAGGGTTTGGGGTTTAGGGTTTGGGGTTTAGGGTTTAGGGTTTAAGGTTTAGGGATCCCCAAAAAAAATCAATACCCTTTAAATAAGGAATATTCCTTAATTTACAGGGGCCCTAAACCCTAAGAGGATCATCAGGGCTCAGGGGGGTTTCCCTAAATCCAAAACCCAAAACCCTAAACCCAAAATCCTAAACCCTAAATCCCTAACCTGCAACCCAAAAGCCTAAAGCCCAAACCCTAAACCCAAAACCCAAAATCCCAAAACCCTAAAGCCTACACCCTAAACCCCAGAATCCTAAACCCTATACCCTAAGCCCCCTAAACCGGGAATCCTCTAAAGTACGGACTCCACACCGGAACACCTCACGGATCGCTGGGACTCCTGGACACCGAAAGCCTTCCCTGCAACCGTGAACCCTGAATCCTGAAGGAGTCCCCAGAGAGCCCAATAGCCCTTACTCAAGGGAATATACCTTAATTCATAACATTAAGGACCCGGATTTAAGGACCCTAGATTTTAAGGTTTTTTCCTCAATCAAGGAATATACCTTAAATCATGATATTAAGGCCCCTCTAATTTAAGGTATATCCCTTATTTAAGGGTTATTGGGTTCTCTGGGTCACCAGCAGCAGCAGTTCGGCAGCAGTAGCAGTCGCAGTAGAAGTACGAGACTTCCCCGAAAGCATGAGGAAAATGCGGCCCCAGCAACGAAGAGCTTGTGCGCCACCCGCCTCATATCTCCTTGGTCCCCACAGAGCCCAATACCCCTTAATTAATTAAGGAATATGCCTTAAATCACAACATTAAGGCCCCTATAATTTAAGGTATGTTCCCTAATTAAGGGGTATTGGGCTCTCTGGGATTGCCTAAAGCTACACGCGGAAGCTTCGAGCGTAGGAGAAGGTCCGGAGGATGTTCAGTCGCTCTTGGGGGCTTCAGTTTCTTTTAAGGGTTTAGGGTTTAGGGTTCAGCGTTGAGGGTTTATGGTTTAGGGTTTAGGGTTTAGGGTTTAGGGTTTAGGGTTTCGCGTTTAGAGTTTAGGGTTTCGCGTTTGGAGTTTAGGGCTTCGGGACTCCAGGGAAGTCCCAGGCGCGCAGGCGCAAGGTTCGCATCGCACGGTCGCACTCCCCGGTGAGCTGCAGGCGCACCTTCACAAGCTCAGAGAAGCCATGAACCCCAAAATCCCAAACCCTAAACCCTAAACCCTGAACCCCAAAAGCCCAAACCCTAAACCCTAAACCCTAAAACCCCAAAAACCCAAACCCCAAACCCTAAACCCTGGAACCCCAAACTCCCAAACCCCGAACCCCAAAGCTCTGAAGATCCTAGAAGGCAGACAGGGGCTTCAGAAGCCACACAGAAAACGCCCTAAACCCTAAACCCTAAGGTGGGGGTTTTGGCATACTGGGGTTTTAGGGTTTAGGGTGTCGGTCTTCGGGAATTGGGGCCTTTTGCTGAGAGGGAAACATGATTCAATTTGGGAGTGTTGAACACTTCCTGATTTTTGGGGTTTGGACTGAACTGTGCTTCAGCTGTACGCATGTATATTTGCATATATATATATATA